GAAAATGGAATCGGAATCGTGAAAATCTTATCAATACCCATCCCTACTCGTGTTGAACAGGAGTTGGCTGAAGAAAACCTGCCAGTGAGGAGGTTAGGTTCAGACTCTGTTACCCTGGTAACCGACTCAGAGTTAAAGTTTAACCCTCTTTCTGGAACTGAAAACCCGAGTTTCCCTCATCTCCGGAATAACAAACTTGGACTTGTTAGCTAAACCTGCTTCCTAGAATAGCCCCAGTAATGAATCTACAGTGAGCTTAAAACATGTTGTGGATGAGAGAAGCAGTGAAAACACAGCACTTCAAGCCGGAGAAACTCTGTTTTAGTTTATAATCTGTCAGCTGTGGACTCTGTGAGAGTAAAGATTAACTATAAAAACATAATGTTTTATGAGCATACTTTAATGCGTATAGAACAATAACAATAAAATGATTCATTATTAAGTTGCATTTTAGAATCTAGACAAACTGGGATACATTAACAATGCTGGGAAATAGCGTGAAAGTTTTACACCAAACTTACAAATAAAATGCCATTTGCCACTCAAAGGTTTCAATTTGTCTCTGTGCCATTCGGAAATGGGTTGAGCAGCATGTACCGTGTGTACGGTTACTGAGATACTGTAACACATCCTGACTAACCTGTTTGTCCTGTGTAGAGAAACTAAAAGTCAGGGTTTTTTCCTCACAGTTGAGCAACCACACAAGGCTGTTTATCATTTAGGGGGGGACTTCTTCATAATATAATTTTAAAAAGCTCAAGCTCGTTTATGTTTCCAATTTCTAATTGGGAGTAACCATATTTATAGTTATCAATTTCTTATTCAGCAAATACCTCAATATATCCTTTGGGTTACTGTTTTACACTCAACGATCTATTAAAAGCACAACTTCACAAGAAACAGAAGACAGCCACAGGTGTTAGGCGTCCTGCTCACATTAACTAAGGCTCTATAGCAGTGCGATCTCATCACATCTTTATTGAAATCTTTTTAAAAGCTTCTTTTAAAAAAAAATTCTCCATGATACTTTTCAGGATTTTTTTTTTTTTAACATGGGGTACAGGGCTGTCCTAACGCATCCTGCCAATATGGTCCTCCTGACCGCGCCCTTAATCGTTACCTTGCGTAAACACTCCCTCCTTGCTGGCACACTTTCACAATTAGGAGTCAACAACAACTAGCTGAGCTTCAGTTAACACCCAAGAATTGAAAGTTTCAGAGCGTCACTGTAGGGCAGCATGTCCGTATCAGCAGGCGCGGCCCTTCTGTGGATTTTACTTCTTACATTCACTGTCTCCACCGTGTCAGGTAACCTGAAACTTAAATATGACCCAGTGGGAGAGATTTGGTGTGAAATGTTGGTGAGGTGGTGGATCTGTCCGTTAAATACTGACACTAATGTCACTCAGAAGCTGAAAACAGCTGAAGCAAGAAAATCCCTTTCAAGAAGCTCTCAGAGCGTGAGTGTCAGGTGATAATGAGTACGGCTGTTTTCGGTAAATCGTAAATTATACCGTGGACATATAACGTGTCATGGCTACTGGACGGACTCACGCGCAGACAGTTCTTTCTTTGAGAACAAAAGGAGATTATTTATTTACAACAGGGATCACCTCAGTGCTATCTATCTATCTATCTATATATATATATATATATATGTGTGTG